GTTGGTTGTATTATTTTTCAAGTCTTATTTTTCTAAGTCTCAGGTGGCTATTATCATAATTCGTTGGTGGTCTCCTGATAGAGACCACAAAAGCATTGCCTTTTAACCCAACTTATCATTTTCAAGTACTCCCCTTAGTGTACACTGTACACTGTGAAAGCAGATTTCAATTAAAAAAAATGTATGTGGTTAATTTTATGATTTAATTATTTTTTCTAAAAATATATTTCTTCCCCCATAGATGGCAAAAGTACAGAAACTAGAGGAGAGTTTGTGTGCTACTGAAAAAGTCATCAGTTCTCTGGAGAAGTCTAGAGATGCTAGCAAGGTAGGTAGAAGCTTCCTTTCCCTGCATTATTATTATTATTTTTCTAAATGCTGCTTTACCATTCCGGCCTCTCGCTCCCAGGGTGACTGATAGCTGGCATTCCTGTATGCACTTAGGCCTTGTTCGTCTTCCAAGGTTGCTAGACTGAGGTCTTTCATTTAAGTTAATTTTTCACGTATCTTAAAGTGCAAACTATTCTCTCTCTCTTGATGGCAATGCTTCTAAAACACTTCCCACCCCTTTTAACTAGGATGTTGTTAGTGTGACCCTTTCTTGTTGGCTCTGAGTCCCATGCTAGAAATTCTCAAATCCCTGGTGTTAACTTGAACTAGAATAATCAACATACTATGTTAAGTCCAAGTACAAAATCAGGTATAAATTTCTTATTTGTCTATCTCTTATTCATTCATAAAACCAAAGCAAATGATTAAATAAAATAGTATAAAGCTATTTATATTAAAATATAAATTGATAATATTAACAGTGTAATGTGATATATTTTGCTAAAATAACACTGACTTCTGTTGTCATTAGGAAAGATACACAATCTATCATTTAAAAATAATCTCCCCCTTAATGTCATTGTGTGTGAAATACTGTTTCCGTCCTCATTAGGAACTGGTAACTGACCTCACGAGCCAGATCCAGGAGCTGAGAACATCAATCTGTGAGAAAACAGAAACCATAGACACCCTGAGGCAAGAACTGAAGGACATAAATGTAAGTTCTGTCACCAGCAAGATGGCAAATTTGAGCCTGAGGCACGCTTCAGAGACTCCCCAAGCGGCTAACAAATGCTCCACCAGAAGAACGATTCTGTGGTCAAATCGATGTGGAAAAACCACCTACCTCTCAGCAGGGCCTGTGTGTTCAGACCCGGCAGAGCCATCACTGTGCCAGAGTGCAGTGGACGTCTCTGGGAGGCACTCGTGTTATTGTGCATTTCTCAGATTTCACTGCCCTGGGAACACTTCTCTGTATTTTGCGGGGATTGCTGATCCAAACTAGGTCAGAAAAAGTCTGGTTGTTGCCGATGATAGTTAAAGGTATTGTGTCCTTCATTGTTTCAAAAAAAAAGTAACACATTTTAGTTAAGTTCAAAGACATATAGAAAGTGAGTTTGTTTTTCCATTATTGGACTTTATTGTTTCCTAAAATAACTACTTTCTCCTGCATGTATCCAAGTTAAATGTTGCTGCTTCCTCCTTCCCTTGGGTCAAGGTGAAGGCTTTTGTCAGTGTTCCCCACTCCTTGCCTCCAAAGGGAGCTTGCCGCGCTCCACCCTTATTTCCGAAGGCAGTCTCCTGATGGAGGTGATAAAACCAGATGTTTTTTCACTGATACCTGTGGGACTTCTCCACTTTTTTTGCCATTCATGCATTTATTCTCCCATACCTTCATCCCACAAGTAGTTACTGAATTAATTTGTGTTAATCTGGATGTCTCCTTGGAACTCGGACTCAAATTATTTTAATCTAAAAATACAGAAAATAAAACAGATAGCTCTTGTATCATGACTCTTTTTTTCTGCAGTGCAAATACAACTCTGCTTTGGCTGACAAAGAAGAGAGCAAAGGGTTGATTGAGAGACAGGAAACGGAGATTCTGGATCTGAGAGAAACCCTTAGACTGAGAATAATCTCTGAAGACATAGAGGTAACTGTTAACACAACGTGACTGTTTTTGCTTTATTACTTGTCAATATGCATGTGTGTGCGTGTGTAAGTTCTTAGTGAATAGAGGATTTTTTAAAGGAATAAGTTATTATTAGGGCTGTTTTCCCCAGGGTAACCGGTTAGACAGTTAACAGATAACAGTAACATTGTTGTATGTTTTCATTCATTTGCGCTTACACCCTGGTGAGTTCCTGTCACTGACCTTCCAGAAGGGTCGCAGAGCAGAAACTGCGTTTCTTTGGGTGTAGCAGCAGGGAGCACAGAGCGGGCCGGTTCACAGGTTAACCTCAGAGCACGTTTTAATTTTTTTGTTGTTGATATAAATTTATCTTTTTAAAAATGAAGCTGTACTGTGTCACATGGTTCAAAATAATATAAAGCAATGTACATTCCCTCTTGTGTATCTTTCCAGGGATGTTTTAGGCAAATCCTATGTACCTNAAAGTCCTGAGAAAGCTTCTATGGTTTAATGGCTCTTTGGTTTAATCCATGATTTTAATTTTAATCACTTGTTTCCTTTGTGTTTCAAATGATCCACTTTGACGGATCACAAATGTAATTCTGCAATATGAGAGATCATTCGTGTTGTACTCTGAAATTGTTTTCTGGTTCCAAACTGGCCTTTGACATCTTTGTCCACATGCGGTTTTGAGTTTTATTTTTTGTTTTTTTAATGCAGAAGAAATGGTGGAATGTTTGAGATATCCATTAAAAACATTCTGACAACTGAAGTTTTTGTGCTGCAGGAACAAATGAGTGCCCTTCAAGTCCAGCTGGATGAAGAGGAGCGTAAGAACCTGAAGCTTCAGCAGCACATCGACAAACTGGAGCACCATTCTACGCAAACGCAGGAGGTGAGACTTAGAGGACGGCCCAGCAACGTGGGAAACAGCTCCCCAGAGGGAGAGCGTTACAGGAGGAAAATGACCTGCCCGAGCCTCAGTCAGTGCTGCTTTGAGCTGTCTTGTCTACTTTGTTACTTTGCATGCTGCCCTGATGATGGGACACGCACCGTTAGCCTGAGTTCTGGCCCTGTTAGTCGATGGTGCCCAGTGACCCTTTGCTGTTTGTCCGGAGAAAGCGAGATGATCGCTCAGGAGCTCAGGCGCTGGCGGGGGTCCCTCCCTTTGTTGGGCATCCTCACTGTAGCTGATGGGAACAGCTGGTTTTCTTCTGGTCAGAGACCTTAAAACTAGATTTTAAAAACAGAAATATGATAATGATTTGGAGTGTATCTCAGCATGCCAGTATCCCTGTTTCAGTAAATTGATCTCTTTCCCACAGCTTTTCTCATCTGAGAGAACTGATTGGACCAAACAGCAGCAAGAGCATCTCTCACAGTTGAATGTCCTTGAAAAGCAACTTCAGGACACTCAAACTAAGAATGACTGTAAGTTTGAACAACCGGCAGCTTTGGATCTCAATACCCCTGTGTTTTTGGTTGGTGGTTTTTTTATTTACTTTAACTAGATGACCGGACTTGAGCTTGCATGGCAGTGGTAAATACTGTGATAAAGGACAATTTGCTTCAGGACTGCTCACAAGCAAATGATACAGTTGTTTGCTTAAACTTTTAATACTGCTTTGAAAATGAAGCATCTTGAATTCATATGATGAATAATGTTTTTTTCTTTTTTGAATAATGTTTTAATAGTGACAAAATAAAGAATAAATTATATTTTGGTGTACATTTATAGATGTGGGAATATCATTTGATTCCCAGTTTTGTTTTGTTTTGTTTTTTCAGTTTGTTTCTCCTTTCATCCAAGTATTTGCAGTAGTTAGTAATAAAGCTAAAACAAAAAAAGACAGCCATTCTGTTTTCTTTGATCTAAGAAGCTACCTAAATTTTACTTTCAATTTGAATTTACTTAGAAGACCATAACTGTTTAAGTCATTTTGGAAAGTTCTGGCACATTTCCAAGCAGTTTTCAATAAGTTGGATTAGGTCACTTAAAATATATTAAATCTCTTGTTTTTTTCCCCCCTTATATTTAGTTTTGATGCACACTCTAGAGGAGAAATGTAGAAAATCAAGTGACCTGTGACCTACAAGTCAGGGACAGATAGATGTTAACTTGTCCTTTTTGGGTAGAAATATGCCAAAAACCATAAACAAGGGAGAGGAAGAAAATATTGGGTTGTTGGAAAAGCCATGATGTATTTTTGCAACGAAAAACATAGAAAAAAATACGTCATGACTTTTCCGACAACCCAATAGAAATCTCAGTGCTCCTAGCTGCCTACACTTAGTTGTTCACCATCTTTACTGAAAATGGTCTCTTTATCTTGTTTTTGCTGAATGTGTGAAGATACCTATCAAATTTTTTTGCCTACTTATTGTGAAATATATATATATGTAGGGAAGCCTTTTGAGGATTCCTTTTGTTTGCCTTTAGTTTTGAAAAGTGAGGTCCATGACCTGCGGGTAGTTCTTCATTCTGCTGACAAGGAGCTGTCTTCGGTGAAGCTGGAGTACGGTGCGTTCCGAGAGAGCCAGGAGAGAGAGCTCAGCAGCCTTTCCGAGAGACACGTGCATGTACAGCTCCAGCTGGACCATGTCAGGTAGACTTGTTCTGCTAGGGTGTCACGTTGCCTGCTTGGCCGGTAACCCAGGACTGCTTGAAGTGCAAGTGCTGTAAACCTAACTCAAACTAGTTAAACAAACAAAAAGGTAATTTATTGGCTCACAATATTGGGAACCCCAGAAGTGATTTTGATTTCAGGGACAAATGAGATTGAGTCTCAAACAGTATTGTCAGTGCGCGTCCTTTCCCC